ATGGCGGTGTATATAGGGGGGGCTATCAAGAGGGTGTTGGTTTCTGGGGGAGGAGGAATCTATATTCGATCCTACGGTCAGGAATTTTCATATATTGAGGTGGGGGTGGAATGGGGAGTGGGGGAAGTGGGCCGTCGGTGTCCCGCCAGCCGTGAGTGATAAGGTGCCCCCCTACAGGTGTCAGGAGAGCCAGGCCCTGCCCCTCCTGGCTAAGTCTCCTGGTTGCCTTTCTCTCCCTCTGCTTCCAGCTCTTTCTCACGCTGTCTGGGTATTTGGGGCTGCCGGCCAGCCCCCTGCAGCCTTCAGGAAGTGTGAATGTGGCACTCGGGCAGGGTGCCTCCGAGATAGTCCTCTTTCCCCTTTGGCTGTGAACAGCTTCTCTGTCAGCCTCTGAGGGGCCCAAACCGGGCTGGACGTCCCCATGTGTAGGCACAGACGGGAGCTTTTCTGAGTGCATTATGTATGATCCATGAGCTTTATTGGCAACGTGGACACTAAGCACGAGGGGGAGGGAGCCCAGGCGGCCGCCAAGAGATGTCCTCGTGAAGCCGAGGCCTCAGTCACCGCCAGGGTTTGGAAGGCAGGGGAGGCCCAGTGGAATAGAGGCACGTCCACAGCCCAGGGGACCTGGGGCCAATGTGTGCCTTAGAAGCCACAGGTTTTTGGGCCAGGCCAGCTCCCAGAGCAGCCGGAGCAGGTCAGGATTGGCTCCCTGCCCAAGGCTGCTTGGAAGGCAGGCATTTAGACTCCTGGGGCGAGCTGGGCAGGGAGGCCGGCCCTCTCCGGAAGGAATCTGCCCCCCTCCCCAAGAGCAAGAGCGAAGGAGGGGGAGAAGGCGGAGAAGTTGCAAGAAGATAAGGCTGCAGTGTGGACGGGTCAGGCCCGCAGGTTCTCCAAGCCCTTCTGCTTCAAGCCCCAGGGCTACGGCTGCTCCCGGACCCGCCGCTGGAGGCAGGGGTTGCGGACTCCGAGAGCCGAGCCGAGTATTTACAGGGCGGGAGGCGCTACGCGAACCGCACCAAGGAGCTGCCGCTGCACTTCTGGCCGCAGGGCGCGCACATTCCGGTGCTCACCGCCAGGTTCCCGCTGCAGGGGGCGCTGCACGCGCTGCCGGTCACTGGCCGCGAGCCAGACACGCAGAGGTCCCCGCAGACGACCCCGCCCCGGGAGCTGCTGACGCCTGCGGGAGGAGAGCAGGGCTTAGTCCCCGTGCGAGGTCGTGGCTGGCGGTCCCTGACTACTGGCTCTTGCTCAGAGCGCCTCCCCCTTCATTTCTATTCCTCTCTTCCCCCCTTCCCCCCAACACCTTCACTCCTGGGCACTCTTTCCTGCACTCAGGCCGCAAGTGTCCTTGATAAACCGTGCTCCCAGGCCCTCCCTGTGGGCAGAAATAGCTTTTTAACTCATAATCATTCACTGCCACACTCCCTCCTTCCTTTCAGGGTTTCAAACTATGGCCTGTGTTGGCCTCCTATATTTGTAAATAAAGTTTTATCGGAAGCAAGCCATATGTACTCAGGTATTGCTTATGGCTGTAGCCGCTTTCACATTGCAGTGACAGAGTCCAGGAGTTGAGACAGAGTCTGGATGGCTCACAAGCCTTAATATCTGGCCCTTGAAGAAAAAGTTTGCCCAGAGGAACCCCAAGCCCTCAGTTCAGAACCCACAGCATAGGTTACTTACAGACATTTATAGCACCAACGCCTTCACACAACCTTGTGGGGAGAGCAGAGACAAAAATTAGTTCTGACCCCCACATAATCTGGATGCAAATTAGATGCAAATGATATGCAAACATGTTCCTGGCTCAAAGCATAGTGTGGGGGAGACTGAAGACATATTCTCCCCACGGGTGTGGCTCTCACCTCTGCTCCTCGCCTTCCAGCAGCCGCCTGTAGGTGGCGATCTCGATGTCCAGGCCCAGCTTGGAGTTCATCACCTCCTGGTACTCCTTGACCAGGCAGGCCATGTCCTGCTTGGCCTTCTGCAGGGCGGCCTCCAGCTC